CGCCCGAAACGTCGGGAATTAAAAATAAAAATAAAAAGTAAGAAAAAATAAACGCGATAAAATCCGTAAAAGTAGTTTTAATTTTTTTTCGTGTATTCAATGTATGCTAGTTAGTTCTTTGAGTTGACAAATGAAGACTTCACATTAGTCACAGGTATCAATTGCCATAAAAATCTAGGGGGCAATTGGGTTGACAGCTCACAAGAAATATGTCAATTGATTGATGGCGTCAAATAAACAATCCAAGAATGTGTGGTCCGCTGTGATACCTCACATTCTCCTGTGTGGCCCTTGACCAGATAAGTGTGACGACCACTGAGCTAAACCAACCAAAGCTGAAGGATTTGAAGGTGTGTCGTTTAAACGTGCGATGCTACATAGAGTTTACACTGTGTATATAATATATTATGTATATAATATAGTATAATATACATTTACCTATAATATATTATTTAATGTAATGATACCTATGTAAAGACTTGCTCATAAAGGAAAGTTTAACGAAGTAAAACTAAAGCAGTACGATAAAAATTAAACATTACTTATATGTAGAAAGCAAGATAACTGACACGAACTCTACAAAAATGCCGTAATGTCTAATTTGCGACATTCGTTATCCGATATTCAAATGCAAATTGCTGTCACCAAAAAGTTTGTGATTGCCTACCCTATTGTTTTATCAAAATTCTTTTTTATTCTTTCGTAGGCAAAATAAATATATTATGTATATTGACGAATACTTCATCAACTTAGGGATTTATTTAGTCTTCAATGTATAATTGGTGTGATCACTCAAAATACTTACTTTTGAAGTAAAAACTTTTTATTGATGCAGTGGAAAAATGGAGTACGTATTAAAAAAAGTCAATCTTGTAATGGTCCACAGCAGGACTGTATGAGTACCGATACTATTAATTTACATACTTATATAACATATAAAATAAAAGAAGGAATTTGTGTCGTATAGATGTTTCACTGTGTACGTCTGTACTCAATTTTAATTGTATTTAAATTTAAATAAGTTTCAAAGTGATAAAAAGCTGCGGTTGCTAACCTACCTGCAAAGCGTGGCGACAAAGTAAGGTAAATAATGTTCAGAAGTGGATTTTTCATAGAAGTAAATATGTAATGATGATGATGATGAAACGTCGCTCTAGCACTAAATGGAATTACATTTTTTTTCTGTACAGTTTTCTTATCTGGTTTAGTTCTACAAATATATAATTATAAATTAAAATGAAAAGATAAATATACATAAATATCAATAAAATAAATAAATAAAAGCCCAACCAGATGGAAGCCCTCGGCAGGGGAGACCAAACGGCCGAGGGTTAGGAGGAAAGGGAAAAAACCGGCGGACGATGCGGGCGGTATCGAGGAGTACAGCCTTCTGCATTTAAGCCCGGAGCGGTCCGTCACGGAGTCCCAGTCGCCTCAGATGACCCGAGAGGCTGACTGGGATTAGCCGATTCGCAGAGACGACTATAGGAATAATTTCGGCCGGCATACCACCTCATATGTCAGTCACTTTGTGAGCCAGGTCCAGATATTTTGTTCGTTTATCTGTTTCGACTTTCACGAGGTTCTCGTCATACGGAATGGTAAAGTCGACCAAAAATATCCTTGACTGTGTCCGGTCCATCAGCACAATATCAGGCTTTCTCGCAAGAATAGTCCTGTCTGTGATGATGGCCCGGTCCCAGTAGAGCCTGGCGCGTTCATTTTCGTGCACAGCTTCCAGCAAGTACTTGTAATACGGCAATTTCTGGTCCACGAGACCGTATTTCAGAGCGAGCTCCTGGTGTAGAATTCTGGCTACTAGGTTGTGCCTGTGCAAGTACTCAGAATTAGAAAGCGCCGAACAACCGGAGATGACATGCCTAAGTGACTCCCGGGATGGCGAGAAGCTCGACAGACGTCGACGGCATCATGCTTTAGGATGTATCTCCGATAGTTGTTGCTCTTAATAACCTGATCCTGTATTGCACAGACAAAACCCTCTGTTTCCCCGAAGAGGTCACCGAAACGTAGCCAGTTGAGGGAGGCGACTGTATCTATGTGGGGCTCATGTAGAGTGTAGTACCTCCGTGGAGCTCCTTCTCCTTCCATATGGTCTCCCGGTCGGAAATGCTATGCACTGCTGGGTCCTGCCATTGCTCGTTGACTAAGGATAGAGGGGTAAGCCCTTTATCACTAGGAATGACGTCCATATAGAATGGATCATCCGATCTCGCCAGGAAGTAATGACGGAGGCTGGACACTTCGCGATTATGCATGGTGAGCGCGCTCAGGAAGCCACGCCCACCATGCTTTCGCGGCAAGTACAGCCTCATTACCGACGATCTCGTATGATGCATCCTATGGGACGTCATTGTAGTGCGGACTTTTCTATCCAGGGCGTTAAGTTCAGTCTGACCCACCTGAGTATGCCAAAGGTATACATGAGGACAGGCATGACCCAGCCGTTATATGCTTGTGTCTTATTCACACCGAACAAAAGGCAGTTAAGCACTTTGGTCAAGCGTGCATAAAACACGTCGCAAACTGACTGTTTCATACCAGCCTCATCGATACCGATGTTCTGTGACATACCCAGGTATCGGTATGTTTCATGTGTATGTTTTGTTGGAAAGGGTCCTTAAGTTGACGGGCATAGATAAGTCTATGCCCTCAGAGTTGGCAACCCTTCCCCTTTCAACATGGAGGACCGCAAACTTATCCATCCTCAGCTCCATTCTAATAGAATTGCTAAATTCACAAGTGATGTTTAGCAATTCCATAAGATGGGAGCGACTGGAGGAGATTTAATTTGAGGTCATCCATATAGAAAAGGTGGGTCACTTTTGTATCTCCTTTTCGAAGCTGAGATCCCCTCCCGGAGCTATCCAGTAAGGTACTGAGAGGGTTCAAAGAGAGGCAGAACCAGATTGGACTCAGACAGTCGCCCTGGAATATACTCCTTCTTATCCTTATGCGGCTTTCCGCAGCCGTCATCAGCTCGCCTAGATGACAGAGGATTGTACTCCATTGCCCCATACACTGCTCGAGGAAGTCTCGAACTGTACAGTCAATCTTGTACAGCTCGAGGACTCTCTTTAGTCATGTATGGGGTACCGAGTCAAGTGCCTTTCTGTAATCTATCCAGGCGGCGGAGAAGTTCCGACGGTTGCGTTTCACCACTTTTCCAATGACCGCGTCAATGAGGAGTGGTTCCTTGGTTCCACGAACGCCGCCCCGACATCCATTTTGAGCGCGCGACATCACCTGATTTAAGTCCAGGTGACGAGTGATCCTCATGCTCAAAATGGATGTTAGTGTCTTGTATATGGTCGGTAGACACGTGATGGTCTATTGATGCTCGGGTCTGTGGCACCCTGATCTTTAGGAACCAAATGAGTGATCCCAGTAGTGAAGAGGCAACTGAATTAGAATGAGGTAACTAGAAGCATGGAGTTCACCGAAAATTTCACTGAAATTATTAATTTCAATTGTAAGCGCCAATACTATGAGTAAGAATAAATTAATGAGCTGTGTTCTTTGAAAAAAATCTTACCAATTAAATATGAAACTTAAATAAATTATTTAGAAACTCCCAACACATAAAAGCTTTAAATCGCTCAATTGGATTCATTCATTCATAAAGTGTGACTGTGAAATAAAAAAAAGTCGAACACACGTTAAGTCCAACGCCACCCATGGGGGAAGCATGGCGAAAGTTTCCTTGCCCTATAACCATTTAAAAAATGAGAGGAAGCCTATGCCTACGTTAGTTTTATAAAAAGACGTCGACTTTTGATCGCTATTGATATTTTTACACAATAAAAAGCAACTTAATACGTAGAAGAGCCATGCTGCTGCTATATCATAATTGTAGCATGAATGGATCGGCCCGACCGGGGAAGGACCACGCTTTTACAGAATACTAGCGTAAAATAGCAGCTTAAAGCTGCTGTATTTCGTATTCGTATGCTTAGTTCTTCGGGGTGACAACGCATCTACATTTTGATTTTCGGTCGAGGGTATATGTAGATATAGGTAACAGCATCCACTTACCAATAAGTGGACTGTGTGCACGTCTGCAAAATGACAAAACACCACCAGAGTTACACAGTCGCACTGCTGAATTTGTGAGTGAAGCTCGATTATGAGACGAAAACTTTAATATTATTAGCAAGGCTATGTAAAATTTTTAAAGAATTCAGATGCAATGTTTTATATGTAGACTTACGTACACAATACTTACAATAATTGCGAAAAACGTCTGACAGTCGCGTTGCGCCTAGTAATCGCAAAGATTATAACTACCATTTTCAGGGGGCCATACGATCTCCATTTACATCAGTCGAGTATTACTTATACGTCACCCATATCATTAGATATATTCTTAACATTGATTATAAGAATATGTAATACATTATACATATTTATAACATCTTTTTATCAATAGGAAACTTAAGAGTCAGAATGTTAAATGAAGAGACTTAGGCCCTTTTCACATGTATCCGGTCACGGCACGGTCCGTGCAACCGTGCTAGCTCTTTCTCATGTATATGGTTTACACACGGTCGCCGGCTATGGTAGTCGCAGTATTATCGAGAATTTTGGGGAACGACAACGTCTTTTATAATCTAACAAAAAAAGATAGCCTTACTCCTATTGTATCGACGTCGTCAGCTTCGTTTTCATTACATACGTCAGAGAATATATTGGATTCATCCGTACAATACTTTGAGAAAGGAAAAGGGAGATTTTTACACAAAGTTTATAGATCTTCGAGAACATGAGGATAAATTTTTCATCTATTTTCGGATGTCAAAGCTTTTGTAGTTCCAGGACGTCTAAAAGACGCTCTGCAGCATCAAAGCATCGTAAGGGACTGCATCAAGCCTGTTGAAATGTTGGCAGTTACTATTAGGTAAGTAAACAAATTAAATAAAATATTAATACCCTTTAATTTTAATAAAAACTAGAAAACATGTTAATTAACAATTTGATATATATCAGTTGGCAAAATCAATCTCAGAGAAGTCGGAGCCTGCGTAGGATGATTGAGAGTCGTTCGAAGACGGATTTTCGGAATAGAATTGCTCATAATATTGACGTGTACTTGGTGATATCATATTTCCTTCTGCTTGTTTTTGTATTCCTTGAGGTTCATAGTAAATTCTAGATGGACCAGGTAACGGCGATTGAGATAGTGTCGGGCGGGATACTTGGGTAGTAAAAGATTGAAGTTGCGGTGCATTAAGACGACTTTGTTTAATTATCGTTATTAGTTGTAATATTCCCATTTGGAATTTAATTATTTCGTCTTCATTGAATGATGACAATGAAGGTATTATTCTTTAAAAAAAAAACACAAATGCCTGTCCTCCAGCTTCTCTAAAATATGTAACAATTTTTTGTCAATTTCATCTATCTTTCGTTTACGTGAACCGAGCTGTTGTTGAGGCGGTGGTGGTGATTTAAACTGGCTGCTACAATTGCTTTCCGAACTGTCTTCAACATTATTTCCTCTTGAAAGTTTTTCGACCCGATCAGTAGGTAGGCTACTCTCTGTAGGACGTTCACAAAAAATTTTGTTTAAAAACTGTAATTGATCAAAATAAACGTATTTTCGTATAGTAGTAGCACCGGCTCCCGATTTTTTTACAGACTTTTCTTTGTTTAATGATTTGTGATAAGAATCTCGGATATTTACCCATCGTTTCATTACTTCTTTACCTGGAAACAATATAAAAAAATACAAATGCTATACAGCATCATTATAACATTGCTCTGATCCCATGGTAAGTACTTATTGTTTATTTTTTGTTTCAGGTACTTAGCTAGCGGGTGTACTTTCACAGATCTACATCTTAACTACAGACTTGGCATTTCAACAGTAAGCAAGTTAGTAAATGAAGTATGTTTTAGCATTTGGCGTGTTATGCTACCAGACTGCATGCCTACACCCAGTAAAGAGATGTGGGAAAAAATATCCGAAGAGTTCGAAAAAAGAGCCAATTTTCCGCATTGCATTGGTGCAGTGGATGGGATAAACATATTAGAATTATTAATCCACTTGGCTCAATGTACTACAACTACAAAGGATACTACTCAATACTTTTGATGGCCGTAGCAGACACAAACTACCGCTTTGTCTATGTGGACATAGGAAGTTAAGGTAAAGATTGCGACTCTTCAATATTTAAGAGATCATCGCTGTGTAAATCAATCATAAGAAATGAACATGAACTACCTACTAAATATGTATTAGCGGAATAAAGACGTTGAAGTGTATTTCGTGGTGACGAAGCATTTGCACTTCACCAACATTTACTTCGTCCGTACGGTGGATGTAATCTTGCAATTAAAAAAAGAATTTTTAACTACCGCCTAAGCAGAGCTCGCAGATATGTAGAATGCACCTTTGGCATCTTGTCTAATAAATGGAGAATATTCCACAGACCAATTAACGTCAAACCTGATTTTGCAGTCGCGATCGTTGTCAAAGCTTGCGTTGTACTAGACAACTTTTTTCGTGATCGAGATGGTTACCAGGTGGAGGACACAGATTTTATTACAGGACTAGAAGATGTCCCAAGACAAACCCAGTCACGCGGCGGACTTATACCAAACAATATACGAAACATATTGAGTGACTATTTTGTATCAAATATAGGGGCGGTCCCTTGGCAAATGTCAAAAATATAATGTAATAAAATAACTCACCAAACTTATTCTTTTCATTATCATCTAATTCTTCGAAACTACTATTTAATCCTATACATACTTCTTTCCACGCTTCTTTTGTCTCCGTTCTGTTTTTATATGACGCGATGGGTTTATCCCATAAAGTAGGACGCGCTTCAACTAGCGAGATCAATACATCAACATCGATTTCGACAGACATTCTGCAACAATCATCCGTCCGTTCCCCTATGATTTGCTTGTCGAATGGCATTTGCGCTCGCAATGCCGTACCGCGCCCGTGTTCATGTGAACGCGTCTATACTTCATACAAGACTATAAAGACGGTTGCCGCGTCAAAACCGTGCTTTTTCTGCCAAGGAGGGTCGCGTCCGTATACGGCTTAGAGATCTCTAGTTAGACCGTTAAGCCAGTCCCTAAAAGGTGGGGTTTAGTGGGTAAAAGTCTCCACATAACCACGCAGCCGGCTGCGTGGTATGCTATGAGCATTCCCCACCTCCCTCCCCCGCTTTCCGGAGGGTTGCCCATATTTGCTTCGGGCGCAAAAAAACCGTGCTTATAGTGGATAAGGACGGCTGACACGCGGTCACGGCACGGTCACCGTGCCATGTGAAAGTTCTCATTGTTGGTCATATATTACTACTTTACACGGCACGGCGACCGTACCGTGGCCGTGTGAAGGCTTAATAATAATAGGCAGTAACATTTCTAATTTCTATATTTTGTAACTACTAAGTTTTTTATGATTTATATCGTGATAAATAATAAGTATCAATATACTTATAGAAAGTTAACATGAAATTTTGTACAAAATAAATTTTCGCTACGTAACTTAAGTGGCAATTCTTTTTATACTCTTTTTTTGTCTTGGCGTTGTAGTTTACTTTATTGTTTTGCCGCATGAGGTACAACTATAGTTCTTTGTATTATTGTTCTTTTACGTGTACGAGACTATGAAATATGTATGATACAAAACAAAGATTTCTCATCAATTTTTGATTAGTTCTAATAGTAATTCTGTTTCAATATGAGTATATTTAACTGACCAGAACTCAACTCCTATCATGATTGAGTTTAAATTTATAACTTATCATCATAAATTTATTATTGATTCATCTTCAATTTATATTTAAACTAATGCGGCCTTTTTACGATGAAAAGGTGTGCCATTTTATCACGCTCGACGGACTGGCTGTCACAAGTATCATAAACGTTACACGTAGTACGTTTTCTCCCGTCGCCAACAATTAAACTTGTTGATGGATTCCCATAATCATTGCAGTTTTAAATTTAATGTAAATTTAGTAAATCACATTCGGTTTCTTTAATTAACATCTGACATAAAAAAACGAACTTGTTGAAAGTTATTGGCGTATAAAATATTCATTTCCTATAACATTTTAATTTTGATATTAGAATTGTTCATGCCTAACAAGAATATTAAATGATAAATCGATATTGGCTGCTGGCCAATCCTGACAACTTTCCTTGTGGGGACTTTATTAGCATATAATTTACTATCTAGACTATAATTTATATTTCCATAATGAAACTGCAAGTTTCTGAAGTCGCCTGCTATGAAGCAGTATATAGTTCGTAAATGATTCAGTTCGACCGCAGCTAGATTAAGGATATACCTTACGATGGATAAGCATGCAAGCCTTGTTCAATATAGGAGGCAATATAGCAGAGGCAGCGAGACGTGATACCGTACTCCTTAAGGTAATAAAGGACATACATGAAGTTGATTATTTCTAAGTGAATATCCGTTATAGCTTTTTTATTTTATTTTATAGAGAATAGGAGTGTAAACGAACACACAATCTACCAGATAGTAATTTGATACTGTGGCCCCTAGATATATACATTTAATCTCTATTGAAAATCAAAATGCATGCCACTCCTGAGGACTAAAATGGTTGGACGATAACATGGTCTTAAGTTCTCTACACTTAACGTACGAAAAAGTAGCATAAAGCTGCTATTTTACGCTGATATTCTGTGAGAGTGTAGTACTACCCGATTCGTGCCGACATGCTTGTGTTACAACCAAAATATAGCTGCAGCGTGACCGTCAACCACGTACAAACGTTGTATTGTGAAACTGTTTATCGGTCCCAAACGTTACTTATGGTAAAATAAACTGTTTCCTTTAGATAATTTAAAATTAAAAAGTTAGCTAAAATTATTTAAGATAGCCTTTATACGCCCTACTGCTGGGCATAGACCTTTTCTCATTTTTGAGAAGAATGCGGAGTAATCAGTCTGCAACACTGCTCCCGTACGTACTACATACTACAGAAATCTTCAAAATATATTCCTCATATTTGAAGGTTTCCTCAAAATTTTACCTCTTAATATCTTCATAAATGGACACGAGCAAGTCATCCCTCGAACTTTCAATTAATAATTATTATTGGTTACAGCGGAGATCGAAACTAGGTTGCTCGCGCACAGAAAAATTTAAGTTTACGGCGAGCCGTGATAGCTAAGGGGTTACCCTTAGCTATCACGGCTCAACCTTTACATTCACACTATAAAATTTATAAATAATACAAAATAGTTTTTGATAAAACTATTAAAAGGTCGTATAAAAAACCTATCGTTTCTTATGAAAAAAAAAAACAGTAACTACAATAATTAAATAGCTGGAATTCAAAATATCCCAGAAAATGTACAAAATTTGTCATTAAACAAATTTAAATGCATTTAATTAAAGAGCATTTTAGAAAATAACTCCTGGAAATGAGGTCATAGTCACCATGGTGGTTCTATAAAAAAGCATTCGAAAATTGTACAAAAAAAATGATTGTAAAGTGAAATATATTTAAAAAAAAGTCCCCATGGGTTTCTTACTGGTTCTCCCCAGGGCAGAGTTATTTTACCGAAACAGGGGTAAATAGAAAATGACTTATAATAAGTATTATATACATTGGATAAAAATTAATCATTTCATTTTATTTCATTTAAACGTTCAATCACATCATTATTTAGGTTTCCTCTTTTAGATCGGCTCACGTTCCATGTCGTAATTTTAAAAGGGCGCTTAATTTTGATGATTATTTTGAAGAACTTCTTATGTGAGGCTCCTTCAGTACTTAATTAAAGCTATTACTAAACCTTAAAAATTTGATTCATCCTCGCTTTTCGTAATTTTAGGTGTGATTGAGTACTTTATTTGCGCGAAAATTTCTTTTTTGTAAACCATATTCTTCCTTTCAAATTTACAATATTATGTAAATAATCTTAGCAAATCGACTAATTTGTAATTTTCTTTTTGAATAAATTTTATTCTTTAGTTCTTTGGATCCATTATAACTATCCTATCAAGTAACTTTTTGTAGCTGGCAGTATAGCTCAGTATTTCATAAAGAGCTTAAAACCATGCACATTCTGCAATTCCATCTTGCATCTTTACCTCTATATCATCTATAAGAAACCATGAGGAACTGGCATATTCCACACAACGCTAATTCACAGAACTTTTTACATCGATGATTTTGTCACTTCACATGACAGTAAATCCTATACCTTTAAACAAGCAATTCTTGTGTATATATATATATAATCGAGATCTCGGAAACGGCTCCAACGATTT